GTGGCAACTATTTGTAGAATTTTCAGTAGGGAGGCAAGTTAAAAACCACTCATTTAGCAAGAGAAGGAAGCTTTTATCCCACGGCTCCATTTTTCAGACAAAGCTACCATCAAGATCTGTGAAAAATAGTTGTTTGTCAGTTGAGAAGAAACTTGAAGGTCACAGGAGTTACTACTGTGAATTGAATACAACTGGAGAACAGGCATATTGGAAAGCAAGAGATTGTTTGCTTTCTCTAAAAACAGCAATGGAAAATCTTCATCAGAAGAATTTGTTTCCATATAACCCAGAAGTGCTTCTAAAGAGGTGCTCCCTTTTCTCATTTATGCTTGTTTTGCTTTATTACTGTAAAGCAAATGATTTATTACCATAATATTTGGCAGCTTGATTATACAGTAAATCCTTTTGTCTCTATCTTCTTTCTCCATTTCTAATGCAAAAGATTATATTAAGTTTGGTCAATAGTGTAATAAGTATCTTTTGAAATTTGAACATTCAAGTTACGTCCCTAGAAGTGTTAATGTGCCTTTTGGGATAAGTGGAGTAATAAAGAACTTCATATTGGCATGAGCAATCAGAAGATGCAAAGCAACAACTTATAGAATGGCATGTTTTATGAGTTGTAGATTTCTTTTGTTTCATTATTATGATTATGTGCATGTAACTAACTCGTGGATCTGAGCATTCAGATAAACTTACCATATTGGTTTCTTAACACTAGAAGGAAACGAATATCTAATTGCTTCTTTGCTGCTTATTTTCCTTGCAGACTAAGAAGATTTCAAGAACTCTGCTTTAAGCAATAATTCACAGAGTGACATGCTCACTCAGGTATTCCCGCTCCCTCAATATTTGCTTTGCTTTCAAGGTATCACAGAATCTTGGATTCAAATACAACCTATCCCCTCCTGAGGTAAGAGTCTAAAACCTTGGCAATTCAAATTGCAGTAGCATCAATTAGATGCAGTTTTTCTTGCTTCTTTCACAGCCAATGTTTCTAATTTCATTCATAAAATAAATTATATCAGGGTTGAATTCTCACAACTCTGTTAGCAAAACCAGCTTTTCTCTATAAAGAAGCAATATCTCTGAATGTATTGTTGCTCACCAAGGAGAAATATGGATCGGTGCATTGAGTGTATATTGCTTGTGGCCAAGACAAAGTCATCACGAAGGACTTGGAAAGGTATGTGATTGAAAACGATCCCGTTGATGAGGTCAAGGTTGTCAGCAGTTCTGACCAATATGTGGTTATGTTTTAGTTTGATGTAGTAGATAAGAACTTGATGAGGTTGTGAAAAGTTCAGGATTCAAATATATAAAAAATAAAAAAATAAAAATGGAAAGTTATTTTGTAGTTTGGATTGTAAAACAGGTTGGTCCCTTAATATTAAGAGCACCCCTTCTATTTAACAGTTTTTATTTTGCAACATAGTGAAGTTTAGATTGCAAAACAGTGGACTCAAATAAAAATTTGCTTTTCACTTATTCACATCCCAATGTTCCAACGAAGTCAATTGGCAGAATTGCACAAGTACCTTTATTTAGTTGTAGGCAAAACGTAAAATACATCACTAACATTTATTTATTTTGTTACTATTAACATATCTTGTGATGCAAGAGATGTATTATTAGAATTTAGGACTTAGAAGTCTATATCTGATCAAGCATATTTATTGGCAATCTCCAGAAGACGATTGAAAACTTCATGTGGTTTTGAGAGCATCGCCATATGATCTGCACCCCTGACCTCCAAAACATCTTTAGGTGGATTGTTCTCGATCATCCAGCATTGGAACTAAATGTTTATTGCTCTATCCCCATCGCACACAACAAAAACTCGAGTCACAGATCCATAACCTTCATTGGTGAACTTCTTTGCCTTGGACAAATCTTGTTGAAACAATGATCCTGGCCTAACCAATGTTTTCGCCAGTTCCAGGTCCTTCAGACACAAATTAACGTTTGTGTTATATATCCAAATATGTACAACACAAGTAATGTAGCAGAAAGAAAGCAAGAGAGATACCTCAATGGGGGAGAGCTGGTAAAGGTTGGAAGACAGGAACCTTGGTCCGGCAATTACTAAGGATAGAGGATGTTCAGGGGTGCCAGAGGGTATAAACTCCGTGTCCAAGAATTCGTCTTTTGGGACATCCTCTAAATACTATGGAAAACGTACAAATTAGATAAACAATATGATCATTAAAATGCAATGTATATGTGATATCCTAAACCCAAAACCACTAGAAGATAAATTCACCTGATCTATAACATATGATGGCTTGTGAATGGTATCTGCCATGAATGTTGTTGGAGGCTTTGATAGAGGGGGGATGCTTTATGCTGTAATAAATGTCTCTGATCTGTGTGTTACAGGATACACTGTATTTTCTGTCAGC